TGCCTTGCTTAACAACAGGGATACAACTTGAGAAATGCATCATTAGGCAATTTCATCGTTGTGTGAACATCTTAGAGTGTACTTATACAAACCTAGATGGTACAGCCTATTATTATACACCTAGGCTATATAATCGTAAATTTTATGGGACTACCATCATATACGCCGTCCATGTTTGACCAAAACGTCGTCATGCAGCACGATTACAGATCACTGGAATAGAATCGGGACTCCAGGAATAAACCCTCACGTATATGCCAACTAATTTTCACAAAGGTACCAAGACCACTCAATGGGGGAAAAATAGTCTCTTCAACAAATGGTGCTGGGACAACTAGATATTCACATGCAAAAGAATAAAACCGGACCCTTGCCTTACAGCATATACAAAAACTAACTCAAAAAAATGGATCAAAGGCCTAAATATAAGAGCAAAACCTGCAAAACTTGTAGAAGAAAGCATAGGGGTAATTTTCCATGACCTTGGATTTGGCAGTGGTTGCTTAGACATGGCAGCAAAAGCACAAGCACAAAAGACAAAAAAGATAAATTGGATTTCATCAAAATTAAAAGCTTTGTGCATTAAAGAACACTCAGGAGAGTGAACAGATAACCTACAGAATGGCAGAAAATATTTGTAAATTATATATCTGATAAGGGTTTAGTATCCAGAATACACAAAGAACTCTTATAACTCAACAAAAAGACAAACAACTCAATTATTAAAATGGGCAAAAAACTTGAACAGACATTTATCCAAAGAAGTTATGCAATGAGCAATAAGCACCTGAAAAGATGTTCAATGTCATTAATCATTAAGGAAATGCAAATCAAAACCACAATGAGATACCACATCACACCGACTAGGATAGCTATAATCTAAAACACAGAAAATAACAAGTGTTGATAAAGATGTGGAGAAATCAGAACTCTCATTCACTGCTGATGGGAATGTAAAATGAGGCAACCCCTATTGAAAACAGTTTGGTGATTCCTCAAGAAGCTAAACATAGAATTACCATATGATCCAGCAATTCCACTCCTAAGTATATACTCAGAAGAATTAAAAATGGTGTTAAAGCAAAAATTTCTATATGAATGTTCACAGCAGAGCAGTATTATTCATAATAGCCAAAAAGAGCAAAATAAACTGAAAGCAAGCAAAGGGAAGGAAACAACAAAGAGGAGAAATCAATGAAACTGAAAACAGAAAAGTAATAGGGAAAAAAAAAAATCACTCAAACCAAGAGCTGATTCTTTGAACATGTCAATAAAATTGATAAGCTTCTAGCAAGACTGATAAAGAAAGAAAAAGGAGAAAACACAAATTACCAACATCAACAATGAAAGAGAGGATGTCACTAGAGGCTATGCAGATATTAAAAAGATAATAAGGGAATATTACAGACAACCCTATACACATAAACTAGACAATTTAGATGAAGTGGACCAACTCCTCAAAAGCAACAGACTATTAAAACTCACCCAAGATGAAACTGATAATCTGAATAGTCCTATAACTATTAAAGAAATTGAAATTGTAGTTTAAAACCTCCTGAAAAAGAAGTGTTCAGGCCAGATGGTTTCATTGGTAAAATCTAACCAACATTTAAAGAAGAACTGATACCAATTCTAAACAATCTCTTCCAGAAGATAGCAGAGAACTAATCCCAACTAATTCTATGAAGCAAGAATTACTTAATATTAAAGCCAAACAAAGATAGTACAAAAGGAGTAAACTATAGACCAATATCCTTCATAAACATAAATGCAAAAATCTTTAAAAAAAGAGTAGCAAATCAAATTCAAAAATATATTAAAAGCATTATATATCCCACAACCTAGTAGGCTTTGTTCCAAAAATTCAAGGCTGCCTTAATATTCAAAAATCAATCAATGTCATCCCCCAAATTAACAGGCTAACAAAGAAAAATCACATGATCATAACAAACGATATAGAAAAAGCCTTCATGATTTTAAAAGATTTTCACAAACTAGAAATAGAGGGTAATTCCCTCAGCTTGATAACCTGCATCTACAAAAACCCCACAGTTAACATCATTCTTACCTCTAAGATTGGAAACAAGGGAAGGATGCCTGCTCTCACCACTGTTATTCAACATAGTACTAGATATCACAATAAAGCAGGAAAAGGAAATAAAAAACGTAGAGATCAGAAAAAGAAAACTGTCCCTATTTGCAGATGACATTACTGTCTACATGGAATATCGCAAGGAATCTACAAAAAACACCTCCCAGAACTAATAAGTGAGTTCAGCATGGCTGCAGAATACAACAGAAACATACAAAATAACTGTATTTCTATATATAATGGAGCATGTAGAAATTAAATTAAAATGATACATTTATAATCACTAAAAAAAAAAAAACAGAAAAGAAACACTTGGGTATAAATCCAACAAAACATATATAGGATTTGCATGCTGGAAACTATAAAATGCTGATGAAAGAAATCAAGGAAGATATAAATAAATGGACAGATATACACTGGTATTAGTTTGCTAGGGCTGCTGTAACAAAGTACCACAAACTGAGTGGCTTAAACAACAGAAATTCATTGCATCACATTTCTGGAAGCTAGAAGTCCAAGATCAAGGTGTCAGCAAAGCCATGCTCTCTCTGAGGGTGCTAGGGAAGAATGTGTTCCTGGCCTCTCTCCTAGCTTCTGGTAGTTCCTTGGCTTGGAGCAGCATAAATCCAATCTTTACATAGCATTCTCCCTGTGCCTGTTCACATCATCTTCCCTCTATGTGTGTCTGTTTCCAAATTTCCCTTTTATAACGACACCAGTCATATTGCTTTAGGGGCCCCTCCCTACTCCAGCATGACCTCATTTTAACTGATTACATTTAGAATGACCCTATTTCCAGAAAGGTCACATACTGAGGTACTGGGGGTTAGGATTTCAACATATAATTTTAGGGAGACTCAATTTAACCCAAAACAACACTGTTTATGGATTGGAGATTCAACATGTAAAGATGTTAGTTGTCCCCAAATGATCTCCAGATTTAATGAAATTTCTATCAAAACCCAGCATGACTTTTAGCAGATAAAGACAAGCTTATCTAAAAAAACAAAGGAAGTAGAATAGCTAAAACAATTTTGAAAAAGAAAGTGGGAAGAATCATGCTATCCAATTTTAAGACTTACCATATAGCTAACAGTCATCAAGACACTGTGGTACTGGTGGAGAGAGAGACACAAAATTTAACAGAACAGAATAGAGAACTTAGATATAAATCCACACAAGAATGGCCACCTGATTTTTGACAAAGGAGCAAAAGCAATTCAAAGATGGAAGGACAGAGTCTTTTCAACAAATGGTGCTGAAGCTAGTGGATATTCATAGGTAAAAAAATGAACCATTCCTTACACAAATTAACTCAGAATGGATCATGGATTGAAATGTAAGATATAAAACTATAAAATTAAAAAAAGAGAGAGAGACAGAGAGAAAAAGTCTTTCAGACATAGACTGAGGAGTTCTTAAAAATGACACCAAAAGCATGATCCACAAAAGAAAAAAAAATTGGTAAACTGGACTTCATTAAAATTTAAAACTTCTGTTCTTCTAAAGACCTTGTTAAGAGGATGAAATGACAAGCTACAGACTAGGATAAACTATTTGCAAACCACATATCCAACAAAGAGTTTGTATCTAGAATATATAAAGAACTCTCCAAACTCAAAAATGAAAAACAAATAATTTAATTGGAAAATGAACAAAGGACATGAACAGATATTTCACCAAAGAGGATATATGAATGGCAAAGAAGCATAAGAAAGGATTTTCAATATCATTAGCCATGAGGGAAAGGCAAATTAAAACCACATTAGGTATCACTACACCATATTAGAAAAGCGGAAATAAAAAGTAGTGAAAATACCAAATGGTGGTAAGAATGCAGAGGATGTAATCTCTCAAACATTGCTGGTGGGAATGTAAAATAGTACAACCACTATGCAAAACAATTGAGCAGTTTCTTTCTTAAAAATCCCAACATAAGCTTATCATACGATCCGGCAATGACACTCCTGGGCAAAAAATGAAAACTTACGTCTGCACAAAAACCTGTACATGAATGTTCATAGCAGCTTTATTTGTAATAGCAAAGAGCTGGAAATAATTCAATGTCCTTCAATGAGTGACTGGTTAAACAAACTGTGGTTCATCTCTGTAGTGGAATACTACTCAGCAATTAAAAACAAATCTCAAGGGTACTATGCTAAATGAAAAAAGCCAATCTCAAAAGATTACATACTGTATGGTTCTATTTATATAACATTCTTGAAATGACAAAATTATAAAGAACAAATTAGCGGTTGCTTGGGATTAGGAAAGGGGGGCAAGAGAGAAAGGAAGCACATGGGAGTTCCTTGGTGGTGATAAAACAGTTCTGTATCTTTAACTGTAGCAGTAGCTACATGAATTTACACATGTGATAAAATTGCAAAGACTACACACACATACATGCACATACGCACATACACACACACAAAAATGAAACAGTTATGTGTCACTTAACAATGGCGATATGTTCTGAGAAATGCATCAGGCTATATGGTACTAATTTTAGGGGACCACCATCTTATATGCAGTCCATTGTTGACTGATATGTTGTTATGTAGCGCATGACTGTACATGTAAAAACTGGTGAAATAAGATAAGGCCTGTAGATTGTGCTAATGTTAATTTCCATGGTTTGATACTGTAAAATAGTTACATAAGGTAGTAAGATTGAGGGAAACTAGGCCGAGTATACACAGAGTCTCTCTGTACTATTTTTGCAAATTCCCGTGTGTCCATAATTATTTTAAAATTACAAGTTAAAAAATGTATTATATTCACTTGCTGATGTACATACATAACATACATATATGCATATGTATGTCTTAACCAAGTCTCAAACTTAGTTGGTACTTAGCAATACAAAAAAATGCCAACTAAGCCAAATTGTTATGTTACTATGTAAAACCTCCATCTGTGAGCCCCATCATGAATTATAAAACTGATTTGAGTGACTATTTTGCGCTATGTGCACTGAGCCTAAAGCTACAAGTTTATGCTCCTGTCACTTATCAGCTGTAAGTACCTTGTGTTATCTCAGCTAGCATTTACTGACACTTACTATAGGTCAGTATTCTAAGGCAGTGTTCTAAGTGCGCGTACACATGTTATCTCATCTAACCCTCTCAACAATCCCATGGGAGGTACCATTATTATTAATCTCATTTTAGAATACATGTGAAGAAAACGACACAGGCAAAGTTAAGTAACTTGCCCAAGATCACAGAGCTACAAAGACAGACTCAAGAGTCAAACCTTGGCATTCTTATCTAGAGCCCTTGAGTTGAACCAATTTGTTCTACTTAACCTCTCTAAACTTCAGTTTTCTCCTCTGTAAAATGATCTTAACAACACATAAGTAAGAATATATAAAATAGTTAGCATATAGAACACCCAGTAAATGACAGCTTAAAAGGGGATTAGGGAAGAGTTGCAGGTTAACAGAGCTGTAGAAGGCCTATTTGATGGGAATACTGCTGAATTCCCTGTTCTCAACTGCCAAGCGAGAAAGTCAATGAGAATGATGTTTTTAAAAAGCAAAAAAAACAAGGATGAATCTCCAAAATCTTTATGCTGGGTGAAAGAAACCAGACACAAAAAAAGTAGATACTGTGTGATCACATTTATATAAAACTCTAGAAAATGAAAACTAATCCATAGTGACAGAAAGCAGATAAGTGGTTGCTTGGAGCAGGGAGTCAATAGGAGAGTGGACTACAGAGGGACACAAGGAAGCTTTTAAGCTGATGAAAATGTTCTATATCTTGATTGGGGTGATGGTTTCACGGGTATATACAGCTGCCAAAACTTATCAAATTGAACACTTTGGGTGCAGTTTATTGTACACAAATTATACCTCAATAAAGCTGTTATATAAAAACAAAAATATTAATAATTTTCAAATATGCAAACTACCTTGATTTAAACCCTAACAATTTTTAACCTCAGCAAAATCAAAATTAAATGAGGTGGGCTGAATACTGTAAAGTTGAGAATAAATATAAGGAATACTACTAAAACTCTATGAAGTAGAAAAAAGAAACTTTAGCTGATTAAATTTTAAAAGATTCTTACTGAGTACTTCCTTAAACAGTAATACTTTTGTTCACTAAATTAAGACTAGGGTATAGGAAGTTTACAAACTGAAAAGTAACTTTCTAAAATTAAATTTCTGGTTTCTACAACAAAGGTGCACAACATGGAACCTTCCATTCTTTGTTCAAATTCAAATCAACCAAGCCTTTGTGCTCCCATTCTCTTTCTTCTTTCAAATTTCCATTCCTGTTACCATAGGAACCTGCTAGCTGACAAGCCTTCAAGCATAGCAACAGCCCAAGCTTAGCAAGGGGTGTGAAAAGGGGACAGAGTGAAAGGCCAAAATTTGACTCAAGAGAATCAGAATTCCAATCTTTGTCACTCTACAAAGGGCCTGGTAACCACAGAAACTGTATCACACTAGGTTTGGGAATACTATGACTAAATTAACTAAATGTGAAACCAAATGTGGAATGGCCTTGAAAATTCAAAAATGGTATTCATTCTATTTCAGATCCAAATCAGAATAAAAAATTCAAAAACAACTTTTTAGAATAATTTTAAGTGATTAAAAATAAGACCTTTTTAACTCCTTTTTTGTAACAAAATTCCTAATGAGAAAAGGTCCAAAACTTTAAGAATTACTTAGTATAAAAAAAAAATTCTAGGTTTGTGAAGCACCTTTAATCCCATAGCTATGCTTTTCTTTTACAAATCTTAATTTTTAAAAATGTCTCGTGATAGCATATTAAATACTTTCCAATAGTCTTTCAGTGAGTTGGTTTGCAGAAACATACCATTATCACAGGAGAATATTTATCTTCTTAAGTCAAAGGGGAGTCCCCAGAGCAGCCCACAAAATCTGACTTTTCTTTAGGAAGTAAACTTCTAATATTTCAAATATCATAAACAGTTGTGAACTATGATCTGTCTCCAAAGATAAAACTTTAGAAACCAAATTCCACCATAATTAATAATTTAAATTAAAACAAGTATTTTTAAGGTATTCCTTGAAAGTGATTTGTCACATAAGAAAATCAATTAAAATTTTTAAAAGCTGCTGTTGTTTTTTCTAAAGTCAGAAATAACTAAATGCAATTAATTCTCCAATACTTGTGTGTAGATTTTTCAATTTAGAAGCTTCTTAATTCTTGGCTGCTTTCCCTGTCACACAAATAGTCTTCTCAAGTCACTTCACTAGATTGTTGTTTGCTTAGGGAAAACCACTTTATTAATATTAACCTAAACAAAAGATAATAAGAGAAGTAAATCTGCTGGATAACACATGTATTCTAAAGACACAAACCGTGAATTCCAAGAGTAAATATAATCAAAGAAATTTCATTTCCTAAGAAGCCTACCCACAAAACATTAGTAATAATTATTAGTACCTAAGGGTATATTATAACATTCTCTTAAAAAAAACCACACACAACAAAAACCTATCTGTCTTTCAAAAGAGGCCCATTCAAATATCATCTGCAACTGATCCCTTCCACATCTGATCCTTCTCTCTTTTGAATCCCCTTAGAACTTTATGGCTTTTTTTTGGCATTTACCAAGCTTTTCCTTAGTTTTCAGTCATTCAATCAAAATATATTTAATAAATACTAAGTCTTAGGCACTGCAACTGGGAGCTAGACAAATAAGGACAGTTGAGATTTTTCAAAAATAAAGTTTCTGGTGCAGCCTCTATGGAAAACGGTACAGAGATTCCTCAAAGAATTAAAAATAGAAATACCCTATGATTCAGCTATCCCATTACTGGGAATCTATCCAACGAACCTGAAATCAACAATCCAAAGAGGCTTATGCACCCCTATGTTTATTGCAGCATTATTCACTATAGCCAAGAAGTGGAAGCAACCTAAGTGTCCCTCAACTGACGACTGGATCAAGAAGATGTGGTATATATATACAATGGAATACTACTCAGCCATAAAAAAAAGACAAAATCGTCCCATTTGCAACAACATGGATGGGCCTGGAGGGTATTATGTTAAGTGAAATAAGCCAGAAAGAGAAAGACAAACACTGTATGATCTCACTCATATGTGGAATATAAACCAACACATGGACAGAGAAATCTGTATTGTGGTTACCAGGGGCAATGGGGGTAGGGGGTAGGCACAAGGGGTGAAAGGAGACATATATATGGTGATGGACAAACAAAAATGTACAACTCAAAATTTCACAATGTTATAAACTATTAAAACATCAATAAAAAAAAGTTTCTGTACTAACTTTACTATTTTAAAAGCACAATGTGTTTCTTACAGAAAAATGAGAAAATACAAACATTAAATGAAGAACAGAGAAAACACAAATAAATTGAACTAATTCAGGAATAACCACTATTGGCCTTGACAAAAATCTTTCCAGATCACTTACTCTATATGAAATGCATATATTTTTTTTCTTCAACAAAAACAGGAAATCATACATAATGTTTTGTCATCTACTCCTTTTTGTTTCCTCCTTATTAAGGTATCAAATATAACCGTTAGAATCTTGACAGGCAAAGATGGAGGAGAGAGTATTAAGGCAGAATGAACATGAAGGGTCTAGAGATGTGAAAGTTGGTTGTTTTATTCTTTTGCTTAATTACACCACTTATAAGTGCAAACACGTAATGTTGAAAGCTTCAAGTCACCTTGACGAAAAAAAAAAGGCAAAGTAAAACACTAGTGTTCACAGGTAAGTGGTATCCTTCGTATTGGGATTACCATTACCATCTCCACCAAGCATGTTACTATTTATAACTCCAGAAGATTAAGTGCTTAGTTACAGCACCATGACCATAACCTACCACCTCTTATGGAATTTACAGTTTACAAGGTTCATTAATTCATTCAAAATTTATTTAGCAGTTACTATGTGTGATGCACTGTGTTAGTTGTAAGGCATACAAAGATGAACAGGACAAGCTCTGCTTTCAACAGCAAAAGACAGGAGACAACCCAAATGTCCTTCAATAGGAAATGAATGGAAAAAATGAGAACAAACTTTAAGCCAACCATTAGGATGGCTATTATCAAAAAAAAAAAAAAAAAAGAGGAAATAAGTGTTGGTGAGGATGTAGAGATGGAGAAACTGGAACCCTTGTACGCTGCTGGTGGGAATGTAAAATGGAGCAACTGCTGTGGAAAACAGTATGGTGGTTCCTCAAAAAATTAAATATAGAATTATCATATGATCCACCAATTCCACTTCTGGGTATATACCCAAAAAACTGAAAGCAGAGACTGGAACAGATATTTGTACACCCATGTTCACAGCAGCATTATTTACAGTAGCCAAAAGGTGAAAGCAACCCAAGTGTCTGAAGGATGAATGGATAAACTAAATGTGTGGTATATATATAAAATGGAATATTATGCAGCCTTAAAAAGGAAGGAAATCCTGACACATGCTACATGGATGAATCTTGAAGACATTATGCTAAGTGAAATAAGCCAGTTACAAAAGGACAAATACTGTATGATTCCACTTAAATGAGGTACCTAGAGTAGTCAAATTCAGAGAGAAAAAAAGAAAGTAGAATGGTGGTTGCCAGAGACTGGGGGGAGGGGAGAATGAGGAGTTATTGTTTAATGGGTACCGAGTTTCAATTTCAGAGTATGAAAAAGTGCTGAAGGACAGTGATGATGATTGTATAACAAGGTGAATGTACTTAATGCCATTGAACTGTATACTTAAAAATGGTTGGAATGGTAAACTTTATATTATGTATATTTTGCCACAATTAAAAAAAAATTGGGGGGGCCAGCCCTGTGGCATCGCAGTTAAGTTCGGCACGTTCCGCTTTGGTGGCTCGGGTCCCCAGGTTCGGATCCTGGGCGCAAAGCTACACCACTCGTCAGCCACTCTGGCAACCCACCTATAAAGTAGAGGAAGACTGGCACAGATGTTAGCTCAGGGCTAATCTTCCTCAGCCAAGAAACAAAAATTTTTTTTTGAGGAATATCTATAAAAACTACTATGGAATATCCAGGGTATACTGTTAAGTGAAAAAAGTAAGGTAGAGAAAACAAACAGCATGATACTATATCAAAGAAACATGAAAGAATATATAGATACAGGCAGACAGTATATAAATATTTTATATAAATGTTATATTTACAATTCTTTAATGGAAGGATAAACAAAAACCTAAATAACTACCTTTAGAGAGAAGGAAAGAACAAGGTAGAGGCAAGAAGGCCAGAAACTAGACTCCTCTGAATGTACCTTGTTCTATATATAAAGCTTTAAAACATAATTATAAATTTAAACCAGAAAATTGTTAAAAAGTTATTCCTCAAAATCAAAATCAAAATGAAACATAATAACCTAACTGTGTATTGAGTTTAACCACAGAGAGAAGTATTTAAGTAACTTTAAAACACAGTAATTTGACTGTACATCCTTGGTGAAATACATCCTAAGGACAAAAAGTAGGAGAAAGAAATCTTAAACTGCTTTCAGTAATCATATTGTTAGTAATGCTATTATTCTGAAATTATATAATGTATGGGGTATAATAAAGCTTCAGTATAAGAGAAAAGAGAAACAAATAAAATTTTTAAATGTTAAACAAAAACTCTGCAGTATTATTTGAATTGAAAGTACCAGTATAAACTTATGATGTACTTTCTTTTAAAAAAACGTATTTCCGGGCCGGCCCCGTGGCTTAGCGGTTGGGTGCGCGCGCTCCTCCGCTGCTGGCGGCCTGGGTTCGGATCCCGGGCGAGCACCGACGCACCGCTTCTCCGGCCATGCTGAGGCTGCGTCCCACATACAGCAACTGGAAGGATGTGCAGCTATGACATACAACTATCTACTGGGGCTTTGGGGGAATAAATAAATAAATAAAATTAAAAAAAAATAAAAATAAAATAAAATAAAAATAAAAATAAAAATAAAAAAACGTATTTCCTAGCTGTCCATGAAAAGGCCTAAAAATGACTAACCTAGTATCAATAGGCTTAGCATTCAGATAGTGGATTTCTAAACATCATTTCCAACTAAAAGGAACCAGGGCTCCCTAGAAAAATTAATGATTCAAGGTTTGAAGCAGAATTTTATGAAATGAGCTTGGATTATACCAGAAAGCAAGGAAGCTAGCAGAGACCACTAGAGTATCATCAAAAACACTCAGGAGTGACCTTGAACAGGCTCCCACTACCAAGGATGGGACAGTTTGAGCCCCAAAAAGAATAACAACTGCAACGGATTGAAATACATCAAATATGTTAAAAATCCATAAGTTCGTGATGATACTTAAAAGAAAAAAAAAAAGACCTCATTGGTCATCTTTGGAGGATGCTTGGGAATCAACTCAATACCCTAAAAATGAATAAACAAAGGAGAACAATCAAGTATCTATCCTGTCTTTCTTATATAAACTGTATACGAAAGTAACTCAGTAGTCCAATAGTCAGAGAAGAAGTTTCTGTTTATAAAGTACTCCTGCTGAGAATGAAGAATAATAGAATTAGAATATCACCATTTTGCAAATCCCTAATATCATTATAGACCTAGGAAATGATCATCAATGGCTACTAAAATTATAAAGAGTGACAATCAGATATTATATGCCTATGCAGCCATGTGCATGTTGCATAACAACGCTTCAGTCAACAACAGACTGCATATGCGACAGTGGGTCCCATAAGATTAGGACCATATGGCCTAGGTGTGTAGTAGGCTATACCACCTAAATTTGCCTAAGCACACTCTACAATATTCGCATGACAATGCAATCACCTAACGATGCATTTCCCAGAATGTATCCTTGTCATTAAGCAACGCATGACTGTATTCTTTCAAAAAAAAAATCAAAAAAGGAGACAGGAACACGGTAAATAACACCACAGGGATGCTATGAGTTGATAATTTTTGAAGTTGGATGATGGTTATATGGCATTCAATATACTATTCTATGTTTCTATATAATTAAAATTTTCCATTATAAAAAGTTAGGGGAAAAAAGGCTAAAATTTGAGTTTGGATAATTGGGAGACTAGTTCAAACATGCTTTGTATTTAATGAACCATAAAGGATACCCCATGGATATTCAAGCTTTTAGGTTCTGTGTTCCTACTAGGATCTGTCCTGCTGCCAGCTTCGCATGCTACAGAAAATCTTTAATGAGAAGGACAAAAGAAAACAGGAAATGGAGGCAAACACAAACCATCCCAGGTGTTTTTCCTCTGATTATCCTATAGAGTTTAGTTTCTAAAAAAAAAAAGAGTAGACAATCAACTTCCCGAAGAAATTAAAGATTGCTTGTTCCACAATCTGACTGAAATTAAACAGGATGACACACAACAAATAATGCTCTGCATTCACACAGCACTTGAACTTTTCAAACTTCTTTAATATACATGTCACTTATATCATTTGACCTTAACAATAACCTTGTAAAATGGACAGGGAAAAAATTCACTTCCTAGAGGAAACCAACACAAAGAAGTTACAAAACTAGTTAGCGGCAGAATGCAAGTCTTCTATCCCTATTTTAATGCTTTTTCCACTAAACTGTTCCCTTCCTCTTCAACTGGGTTTAATTATTCAGTATGGGAGAAAAGGCTCCTCAGATCTTTTATTACCACCAGAATCAAAAATACCTGATAACATGTGGGTTGGTAAAGACAGTTACTGACAATTTGTTGTCCAAGCTGGACAGCTCCCAAAAATTTACTTAGCAATTTGGACAGCTCAAAATGGTTTAAGAAACTGAGAATGAGAAAATGTTTTTTTCTATCAAAAGCCACGGAGACTCAAGGGAAAAAGTGAGACATCAAATTAAGAACTTATAAAAATTTAGTGTGTGTGTCTGTAGACAGATGTGCATGTTTTGGAAGGCAGAGTAGAGAAATAAACATATTAGCAAGAATCTTCTTTTCCAACTTAATAAGTTGACACTTATCCCATTTATTTAAACACGTCCCAATTTCAGTCAAAGTATAGAAAAGGAATCCTCTATAAACAATAAAAGAACATGGAACTTGTTGATTGTGAATAATCAAATTTGAAATAACCCAAATTCTATACTTTCTCTCATCTGTGCATCCTTAGCTCACTGTCATATGCAATTCTGTTCCAAGGACTCATTTTGACTCATCAAACATCAGTACAGGAATGAACCCAGGCAAGCTTGAAGCCTGGGCCTGCTGAAAGATGTTACACTAGGAAACTGTCTTTCAATTCATTCAGTCCCAAAGTGAACACTCAAGAATGTGCTGCGATTACCTGCTCCAATTACTTGCTCCTGGTAAAAACTGGCAGAAATGTATCCAAAGTTTCTGGATCAGAAGTGGAGGGTGTCATCAATAGATATAAGTCCTCGTAAGGACCCAAGAATCCTTACTTCCATCTGGAATTTTGTTTTGCTGACTGCTGACTTTCCATGTCCTTTGGTACTACAGAAATTTTACACCCTCAAACTGTCAGATGATTCTTTCCGTCAGCGGCATCACTGTCCTGATATGACAACCACGCAACAAGTAACTATATTTCCAACATTAATTACTTCAGATCACTAAAGCCTTCTCTTAGAAAGTATTACCCACTTAGGTGCTCTTCCTACAATGTGTGAAGTTCAAACAAAGGCAACCTCACTGCCAATAAAATATCTAGACTACACAGGCATGTTTGAGAAGAGGGTAGAGATAGCTTACCATGCCATCTTTAGGAATGGCCCAGGGGCCTATAACTAGAGATGCAAGTTCATCTTTCTAGTACTTTCCGTCTAGGATCATTTAGAAATGGAATTTGGAATAGAATTAACATCTGCAGATCACCTATTGCGTGCTATGCATTGTGCTACCTACTTTATAAATCTCTCATTTAATCCTAAGAGCCCTTTGAGGGTATTTTTGTTATTAATGCCTTTTCACAAATGAAGAAACCAAGGCTCAGGGATGTTAAGTGACATAAGTCCAAAGTCCAAAGTCTTAAAGCTACTACACGGCAGAGCTAAAAGCTGAATCCAAATCAGTACAAATATCTTTATTACTTGCTTCTCTTACAACCCTATTTGCTTTCCAAAGGAGCTGTACTGACTTACAACGAAACTAGAAACAAAGGTAATTCCTAGTTCAATTTTTTTGCGAGGAAACTGATAGCTTTAATACACAGCAGGGACTACCATGCCTGGAACCAAACTAACATATTAAACCAATCCCCATTTTCATATATCCTAATCTTGACAATCTATACCAAATCTCTCTTTACCAGTTAGACCTTGTGTAGTCAGAGGAAAAGCAGAAAATGTTTCGTTCAACCTCTATAACATTTTCAAATATTTGGAATATATAAGATGCCCTTCACATTTCAAAAATCTATGAATAATAATCCTTCTACAAATTTTCCCAGACAGATTTATGGTAGACCACTTGGAAGTAATGAACCTTTGAGTTTTACTATAAAATGAAGAATTCCAAAACATGTAGGCTTCGATTTGCTGAAAGCACTGTAACAATGGATTTAAGACTAAAGTACAAAACATTCTCTGTAAATTACATGTGTTATGTAGTCACAATATGAGAATATGGGTAAATGGTAAAAGCTATCACTTTTAGAGTACTTACTATGTGCCAAGTACTTTATACACATTTTCATTTTGTACCTTACAAAAGTTTGTATGAGTATTAACTCCATTTTACAAGCAAAGAAACTATGGTAAGAAAAGTTCCCATAACTTGCCCAAAGCAACACAGCTAGAAAGTGGTAGAGCTAGAATTCAAACTCAGGTATGTCCAAACTCAAAGCCTAGGCTCCTTATCGCCACTATTTACTGCTGCCTAGTTCTCATCTGGTAAATATATCCTTGTCCACAATTCTAAAACCACTATAAAAACACATACATACTTATTTAAACCTATAATTAACTATACCCATTAATTTGTCATAGTTTCTAAAGTAAAATCATTAAAAAATACCTAAAAAATTACCATTAGAAAAATTCAAGTAAGGCAACAAATTTTCATAAAAGCCTGACAAGTCAAGAACAGATAATTCACAGAACAAAAACTTTTTCATTGCTTGGGAGTTATTGTTCTTAAATTCATATGAACATGGTAAGACTAGGAAATCATTTTAAGTATTTAAGAAAATTCAAATACTGTAAACCACCAGCCTAAGGCTGAACAAAAGAACTCATTTTTCAAAACCCCTTTACCTTCAACACTTAATGACTGAATTATTATTATTATTATTATATTCTGCTCTTTATCTGAAGTTTTACTATCGGCCAAATAACAGAAAAGACATAATGAGATCGTAACTTGGACGATTTTAAATTTCTAAATGGCTATTATCTCCCATGTTTCAAATTTCTTTATAGAAGTATAATGTCTAAAAAAAATTCGAGTAACATTCCCCAAACATGAATTCTTCAATCTATTACAGCTTGAACCCAAATATATAACTTTTTAATGTACAAGATGTAATTAAAAATAACATTCTTTCCCTGTTGTTAATCAGACATATTCATTAGATTAGTTAACAGGGCAATATAAGAACCATTTTCTAAGATATGTCAAAGAATAGATCAAGTCTTACCTCCATTGCTAAAGCTGCTGTCTGTTGGTCATAATGATTCAGAAGATTAGGCATGAAGGTAGTATTATAAGGCAAATCTTGGCACATCCTCAAGGTAATAGGTTCACAAGAAAACAAACTGTGCCCACTAATATGCCCCACAAACATAGTCAAGGGCCAAAGATAGACGACGATCCAACTCATAGCCATCCTTTCTGGATCTGAATGAGATTCGGATGATCAGGTCTACTCAATATGTATTTTGAATCTTTATACACCTGCAGGTTTCAGCTTGAAAGGACTTCTTCTATATCTTACTGTTAAGTTTTTCAAACAGTTAAATATTCTTTGCACCGTCACAGGTTTGGTAGCTCGGTCCCACAAAAGGCATTTGTTTTGGGTTTCACAATATGGGAAAATGACATCATCTTGTCTCTTCTTTTCATTTTTTTACATAGGGCACATTTGGCCAACATATCAAGTTGATCAACCACATTCCCAAACAACAGATTCCATCTTCGGAGAAGAGCTATTTCTTCCTTTGATTGAAATACCTGAAAAGTATTTTTTTTAAATGGGAGAAATTAGTCATTTCCTCTCAAAATATTGTGGCCTTGATATTAAAATCTTTGATGAGCTCAGTCAAGTTGCAGGATACAAAATCAGTATACAAAAATCAGTTGCATTTCTATATACTAGCAACAAACTATCAGAAAAAGAAACAAAGAAAACAATCTTTGATAAAAGATATCAGAATGACCTAATAGATAAAATACAAGGATATTTTGTAAAGATATAGTAGTTTTTCCACTTTATCACTTATGCTATAGATATACTAAAACAATCCTTAAACAGCATTTAAAGGCAAAATTATACAACATATGGTTTAATCTCTTGTCTGACAGCAATTTTTCATTTGTCATGATATAATTGATCCACTTTGAAAAATTCTTATCCTGTTGTCCTAAATTTTATTTAGATATCTGCCATATTTATAATGTAAGCTATTGAATTTAAAATTTGTTATATGTGTTTTAACCATTAATAGTGCATTTTTACATTAACTGATTGGACAGAAGGTTTCTGTGAAAGAGGTAAAATATAAATAAATCAAAAGATATGGATTCAAGTCTCTTACTAGCTGAGTGAATGGAAACATATCACTTAACTTCTCTGAACTCAGAATTTCTCTTCCTGAAAATAGCACCTCTCTAACAAGGATAACATCTGAGTGAATTATGAGATAATGTATGTGCAAGTACTCTATAAATGGTAAAGCAGCACCAAACATTAGGTAGTTTTAGTACTGAATTACAGGTGATACAAAGGCTACCTCTATCAACCAATATTAAACCAGCAAATAGAAATTTCTAAAAGTAATATCAGGAAATTTTCCCAACATTACGTTATCTTTTGAGATAGCACAAAAATTTAGTACCATTGATGCAGAAACATTTAACCAACAAATGTTTCATTACACACAGCCAGGCTACGGAGAACAGAAATCATGCCTAGAAAGTCACAGCAGGAATAGGAATGATTCTGTTATAGTTTCCACTAAGCTACAGAATCTTTGACTTGCTCCTACTTTCTAGGGGCAAAAATATATACGTCATTTGGGGCAGGGAGGGTGGGTGTGGAGTGGAAAGCAGGCCTGGTAGGAAAAGAGCATATTCTAAGTTATCATACTTTCCTTTGGTTTAGTAATGATGTTAAATCTGTTTTTATTTCATTTTATTTCATATGCACTGGATGTTTCTGTGTTTGTTGTAGACAGCCTAGACAGGGAAAACACGAGAAATTCAGGTTCAGAAATTCTCAGAGACACAGGTTAATAGGACAACTTAAATACTAGGGCCCATGACAGCTTAGACCTTGAGACCTGGAACTGGTTTGGCTTAAGCAGGAAAAGAAACAGTCCTTTGTGCACTGACTAGCAATGATTGGGAACCTCTGCGTCCCAAGCTTTAGTTACTAGACAGAAAAAACTACTTGGAGAAAGTAAAGCAATCAATGGCTGAATCTTCCCAATTTCTCCCCCTAGTAGATGGTCTTGAGTAGAGGAAAGGAAAAGGAAAGTCTGTGGCCTCTAGAATTAGCAACACTCAAGTTATGAGCAATCCCTGCCCCAAATGCCCAATCTCTCTATACAGAAACCCCTAAATCAGAAATCTTTGCAAAAGTTCCTTGGCCTGCCATATTTTTTTCCTCCTTCAAGCTGGCCCCATAAATGTGATGTCTGGCTATAGAAAACTGATATTAAACACAGTCGTTTATATTTGAGCTTAATTACCATGTAGCACAGTAACAATTATGCATATCATTAAATATGTGTCAAATAACTGCAGAAAGCTTTATTTGGTTCCAGTATTATAATGTCCATATAAGTTCAGTCTTTGTAGTTTGTTGCTTATGCAGTATGTTCATCTGCTTGCAACTGAAAAAAAATTAAAGGGAACACTGCTCCCTATTGAATATGTATATAATAAGAATTTCAAAAATTTCATTGAGATTAATCTATTTTCCAAGCAGTTATGGGTTTCAAATTTATGGTTCAAAGAAGACTACCATATAAAACTTGAGGAATAAACTGAGCAATACCTCATTGGGATTTTAAAACTAAATGTGACACCCCTCTTATACTTCTGCCTACACCATCTATTTTACCTGATTTCCTCTCAATTACTCCTTTTGCCTCACTTCAAGTGACGCATCCCACCATCTTATAAAAATGCTTCCTTTATGTATTATGACATCCAAATTACCATATATCAAAACACTTTGTAAAATCTGTATGTTAGGCTGAGGTAGGACAATAATCTTAATATATCAAGGTTGCAGTTTATGGTTTTTAAAATAAATAAGAGAAAACCCCAGCAGAATGCAGTGAGACAAAAAGGAAGTAGGAACAGTAAAAATCTCAAAGAATTTTTATTTCCCCCAAATCAGAGGTTCTCTAACTTTAATATATAGCAGATTCATGGATCCCCTGACAGGTCTAAGAAATCTGAATCTCTGGAGAATGATATGCATTCTAATGATTATCTCAGGTACTGTTATAAGCAATTCATAAGTCATGTTTTGAGAAATGCTATCCTAAAATAGAACAATTTAAAAGAGTATAGGCATATAATTATATGCTTAGCAAAAGTAATACATAAAATGAATTTAAAAAATAAAAGCAGATAAAGAATAAAACTTTAAATAGAAAAATGGGAAGAGGACATAAATTTACAAAAGAAATACAAATAGCCAACATATGAAAAGATATTCAATTTTACTAATAATAAAAAATGCAAATAAGAGATAACATCATATTTGCCAATCAGATGGGCAAAATAACAATGAGAGAACAGTACAGGAGAGGGTGCAGGGAAAAGAACATTTTCAACATTCCAACATTTTCAAATACTATTGGTAGGAATGTAAACTAGGTGGTATTTTAAAAAATGGCTGCTTATATCAAAATCCCTTAAAGTGTGCACAATGCAATCCAGCAAATCTATTCTATAATGCATTCTAAGTAAACACACAAGTACACATGATGCATAATCAAAATGTTAGTGTAATACTGTTTATAAAATAAAAAACTAGAAACAACCTAAAAGTCTACCAATAAGGGATTCGTTAAACTGTGGTCCAACCACATAACAGAATATTATATAGTCATATGGTCACTAAAAATAATAAGCAAAGTCTGTATTTACTGACATGGAAGACAGAAACAATAAATAAAAAATAAAAAAGTTTACCAAACAGCATATATATGTTCCATTTTTGTCAAAAAACATATGTATATAGAATAAAACTATTTCAATTATTTAAAAATAAAATATTATAGGGGCTGGCTCCGTGGCCTAGTAGCTGGGTTCAGCACTCTCCACTTCAGTGGCCAGGGTTCGTGGGTTCAGATCTGGGGCACGGACCTACACCACTCATTGGCCATGCTGTGGTGGCAATGCACATACAAAACAGAGGAACACTGGCACAGATGCTGGCTCAGGGCTAATCTTCCTCAAGTGAGGAAAAAAAAGAAGACTGGCAACAGATGTTAGCTCAGGGAGACGCTTCCTCAGCAAAAAAAAATAAATAAAATATTATAAATGCTCTGAGATTTTATAAAAGAACCTGTGGTACGTTATTTTATGCATGGAATAATTAACTCTGCTAAATCTATAAACATGTGCTGACTAGCTGACAAGAATACATACTAGTTGAATCACTGATTTATTGGCTGCTAATTAAGCAACAAGCTAAGGGACACACTACTGCCTTACTGTAGGCAGTAAGAAGAGCAAAAGTGATGACCAATTTAGCATGAGCCAAAAACCAATTTACAATATTGAAAGAAATCAGATCACCTATCAGCTGAGTCAAATGGTATGCACATTTTTAAAAAACTTTTGATATATATTCCAAATCATTCTTCAATAACATAATGAAATTTCTTCTAATCAGGATCACATGAGTGTGGATAGCAAAAGTCATTTTTCCTAAGGTGGCTTCATTCATGGAACAGCTGTAAGTTGAAGTTTCAAACATGTAAGACACAGAGAAGATTCTAGACCCAAAGAGATCCTGCCAAAATATACCAACTCATAAAATAAAGGTTAACAGTCGTTTTGGCATTCTTAGTGATATTATATTTTTTACTACAGGAATCTGCAGAATCTCAACTAAATAAAAGGACCTGCTGGGTTAACACAACCAGAGTGAACAGCTTCATGGGCCGGAGTCCAGCAAAAAGTGAGTGATATGGCAACAGTTATTCATGCCTTACCTGTGGGAAAAGAGGCACAGTCATTTCTCCATAGAGCAATATAAGGTATTTGGAAAAGTGATTTCAGAGTAAGTTACTTTATTATCATTCCATGAGAAAACAAAAAGGACTAGATAACTTAAACCTACATTTTAATTTTTATGAATCTGATGCTCCCCAATTACCAGTTTTCTTTTGATGATAACAAGAAAAAGCCCTTAAAATAAAATAAGCTGAGTATTTGTCCTGAAGGACAGCAATAAAGGGGAAGGGGATGCAATCTTGGAAGACTGTCTTCCCAGGCTGGCTGCAAAGCCAGACCCAAAGAACTCAGGTGGGAAAAGCAGGAAGCGGGAACTGAAGAAGAAAGCAGGCTGAATACCAGAAGCAGCAATGACAAAAGTGGGCCCCGTGGGCTTGTCAAGAGGGTCTTGCAACAAAACACTGTGTTCAGCAATTCTATTCCAATTCACACTCTAAGTACAGAAAGTGATCCGTTTCATCATTCTCAGTAAAGATTTAATTTTGACACTCTATAATGTAGACAACATTTTGCATTTCCAATTCAGAACTACCATCTAAAGGTTGCCTCTCACACAGTGGCTACAGTGGGAACAACAGGGATATTTTTTGTTTTCTTTCAGAGTAGTTTTCTAAGAATGCATTGCAAGGATTAGCAATGACAACCTCTAAATAAGTGTCTTCTCTCAAGGAAATTACCGTCTTGTTAGAGAGACAAAATATACATTCAGAGCATACTCACTGCCCTAAGTGTTATGTTCCTTCTCCTAAAACCTATGAGGTCTTTGGCCTTTTGTTTCCCACATCTTATTATTAAAAAAAAAAAAAAAAAAAAATTCATTCTCAAACTATTGTCTCCCAGTTGCTAAAAGAAAGTTTATATAGCTTCATATTTAATTCATAGGGCCTAGATTTCTATTAATCTCAGAGTGGGTATCTCTCTTCTGATCTTTCCCACTTCATCTCTTTAATTTTTAAAATCCATCTTGTCATCTACTGATTACAACAAATAGCCTAATCTTCTAATATGCTGAGGGATAGGGCTAAAAAAAAAAAAAGGAAACAGGAAAAACAAATACATCTAGGTTCAAAATTAAAATGAATGGTAGGCATTAAAATCCAGTCCACTTTAAAAATTATAAATTACTTTTAAGACTAAAGAAAGCAGATCTTTTAAAACTAACCTGAAAACAAAACTGGAAAGTTAAAAGATGGCCAGATTCTGGACTAAAAAAAATTCAGGCTGAAATTCTAGCCCAGCTTCCCTTTCCAATTAAAATCTGTTCATCAGAAAATTCTCTAATATCAAGCCCCTAATTTTTTCCCTTAGCAAGGTTGTATGGTTTGTATGCTTTGACGACAAAATTATTTCCTTGAGATAAAATTTGGGGACTAGGATTCGGTTTTTTTCAAAGCCCACTAGCCTACTTATATTCATCTGAAACTTCGTTTGCAACGCATTCCTTGGGTCTACCAAAACTGTCAATAGTTCTCAGCATAATGAATTGGAAAGCAAAGAGAGAGAAGTCATTTTTGACAAACTCCTTCCTAGCCAGTGAAGAGTTGTTACTGTTCAAACATGTATTCCTAGCCTTAGAGAAATGAGACTATTAAAAATCTTCATTTCTTTCCTCAAGACCCTGCCATACATCTTTTCCCAAATCTATACTGAATAATTTCTCCAGTACGTATTTGCCAAACTATTCTTTTTATTTGCGTTATTGCTCTTTTCGTGGGCAGCTGCAGCTTTAAGCAGCCCTAATTCTAGAGATTTAGGGGTTAAAAAAAAAACCTTGAGGCCAACACCACTCCCCTCTGGGAAAAGAAGGTAAAGATGCAGTAAGAACTGTTTCCTACTACCTGTCTCCTAAAGAAAATAAAGTCAGTAGCAGCCTAAATTCAACAAACTAATATGCTCAGAATAAGTTTTGAGTATAAAATATTATAGTTTTACTTACAAACGAATATGAAATTTAAGTTGGGTAGAGGTATTTTTTCCTGTCAAGTGGGAAACAGAGGACTTACTGTGAATTAAAAACTCCTCTCTCCTTCCCCAATGATAAAGCTTTCACATTGTACTATACAAAGAAAGAATGTGCACTTTACTATTAAATTCCCCTCAACTCTCCTTACTTCTCATATATCAACCATAGAACTCTCAAGAAAAATTCACCTAAATGTTCAAAGCACAAAATAAAACTCAAAGGAATATAATAGCTAAGATGAGGAAAGGAATGAAAGAGACTACAGTCCCTCCTTCTTCTATTAATGGGACACTGTTAGAGACTTAGGAGAGACGTGGAGGTAGAGAATATTACTGGATGAGAAAAAAAAGAAGTAGGGGGAAAGAGAAGTTAGGATGGTAGGCTTTATTAATTACTCACTTATTTTCTGATAGTTTCAAAGCATTTGGCAAGTAGAGGAGGAACAGGAAGTTCACTAAATAAAAGGCAATGTGGTAAGAGAAGGGCTGCATCTTAATTACATTTTATCTTCAGCTCTATCCTTCTAAGCCCACCCAGTTAAGCTTTTACACCTCTTTCCTATTCTCCCCAACTCTGAATCATTTTCCCTTTATGTTTTATGTTGTGGTTTGGTAATTCAAATAAATGCTTTTTTTTTCCTGGATGAAAATTGGTTTGCTTAAAAGTACGGATGGAAAGCATGATCTTGAGGAGTAACTGCTTCTTAACAGAACTGAGGATTTATCTGTTAGACTGTCAGCACAGCACTCCAGGCTAAAGAAGACTGAGGAGGGAGGTAACATCCCCGTGCCAATCAGGTCTTTGTTTCCTTGCTCTTGTGGTATTGGCTTTGCAAAGTGACCCAATCAATTCCCACAAATAAACATTACAGGTCTATCAAAACTACTTTTATAAAATAAGATTCTGTTTGGATACTTTTATATAGCAGTCACCATTTATATAGCTGCTGCTCTGCTCTGCTGCTGCATCTGCCTAAATTGAGAAGGGAACCAAAATTCAAAATTTCATTTTAATACTGGGTAAAAAACTGGACCTCTTTTATAGGGTAAATATTTTTCAACTTCAAGTCCACTCCTATGCCTGAATTAATGGCATGTGCTTTTGTTCTCAAAAAAAAAAAAAAAAGAAGCCCTCTTTCTTTGTCTTACAGAGGAGGCACCTAACTCCAAGACCCCCGAGATCTACAGAGCCCCTAGGAGGATGTGAAAACCTCTCGAGATATTTCACCGGCACTGTCTTTCAGAGGCCATCTCCTAATTACTCAGCAGTACGCACGGCGGACACAGCATCAAAGGGGGCGACTGGGGGAAGCCTCCGGGGGGAGCAGCAGACTTTGCAAACTGATGGCACGGAGGGGACAACTTTTAGGCGCTGGAAAGAAGAGGTCGGCCAAAGGCTAAAACGACGTCTGAGCAAGGGGACACGCTAACGTGGGTCCCCGGCCGCCCGAGCGCCCGGGCCGCTGGAGCCCTCGGCGCATTGTCCTCCCCCGGCCGGCGACCGCGTCCTCCACCCGCACTGCCGGCCGGCGGGCAGCGCCCCTCGCCCCCGGGCGCCCCAGGCGAGCGGGCTCGGGCCCGGGGCACCGTCCCCGGAGGAGGGTCTGGGCCGGGGGTGGCGGAGAGCGAGCCGCCGTCCACACTCGCACAGGTTGCCCGGCGCGGGCTCCGGACCGAGAGGGTTAACAATCTCCCCGGGCATCTGCCCACCTCAGCCCTCAGCCCCGAACTCGCCTCCTCCGCTCCCCCGCGGCCTGCCGTCGAGCCCGAGGAGCCCCTCCGACACCCGCCACAGCCCGGCGCCCAAGGCTTTTGTTTCGGCCGCGACGAGAATAACGATCCCTGAGGAGGAGGTGCGGGGCTGCTGGCGGCTCCTCAGCACAGGGTTAGGCAGAGGAGCGGGCAGCCACGGCGGCACCTCCTCATTCCTCACGCTCTCGCGCCCCTTTCCCGCTAACCCGGCCGGGAAACCGCCCGCCTCGGCGCTCACCTCACACCTCCGGGCCCGGCTCCAAGGCGGGGC